AGCACAAAACAATAGATTGAGAGCATAAAAAAATGCAAAACTTTTAGGGCCAGCTATTTAAATTATAGGGCCCAATTCAAAATGAAAACGTAAATTTCTTGTTCAGAAAATAAGAAAATGTACCATTAAAGATACTAAAATATAAAGCTTTTTCTTTTCTTCTGTGGTCTTGTCTCATCTTGTCAAGGCGTTTTTTATTTGCTATTTAATGTCATTCTTAGTAAAGAAATCTAAATTTTAAATTATTGGTATGAATTTTGTCACTTTATATTGCATGATACTAGTTTTAAACACAAATATAAGAACACTTAATTCATGTGGAATCACCAAACTTGATTTGTGTTTTGTACGTGCACGTATTTGTGTGATCATTTTTACCAGAATAGTGGAAATGCTGCACAAAACTAACTCAACTGTAACCGTTTTTGTTTTACTTCTTGATGTGTGCACATTCTACTAACACTATCTACCTTCAGCTTACTGAAGAGTAAGGAAGGACTGGCAGGAAAAGGAGCTATGTGTTATGAGGAGCTCCAGACTGAAATCCTGTGATTTTTTAGGCGTGACCATAGGCAATTACAAAGGCTTTCCCTAGCTCTTCTTGTGGGGGAAAGTCCTCCCCACACCAGACTTAATACATAGCCAGTGTGTGGTGGTTTGTCTCTAAGCTGAGTTGCAATAAAGGACTCAGGCCTCCCTGGCTGGTCATGCTCTTATGCCTGTTGGCATTCCTAGCCCAGGCACCTTCATTCCCAGGTCTCTTTATCTGAGGCTTTTGTCCGAGGTCCACTTCAGGCACCTCTACCAAGGCCACCTTGTAGGGGGAGGAGCGGGAAACCTTGAAGACACTTTTCTTTACTTTGACTTAGTACTCATTACTTTTCAGCTCCTAGTCCTTCCCCCTCACCCTTCCCCTGACTCCTGGGTTCATAAAACTGCTGTTTTGTTTGGGGCTCCCTCAACAGGGAGGTGATTCCCATGTCTGCAATGATCCACCTCACTCTTGACTTGTGCAGTGTTTGGGGGGGGGGAAACAGAATGGGGGGAGTCTGGTTTTAGACCTTTGCTTATACTATTGCAATGAGTGATCACCTTTCATTTTTTAGCTTGTTGCTTTAATTGGCTACTCTGAAACTTGGCAGCTGAGCTCTTTCTTTCAGCTTAGGTGAGCTCCTGACAGGTTGTCTTATCTTTCCAATTTTTTCTGTGTCATCATTTTCGCTGTAAGTGGTTGGCTAACACAGGAAAGTAACACAAGTAAGAAAGAATATAATGGTGGGGTTCCTCGGTTGCTTGTGTTTCCTATAACACCATTGCCTTCTTTCTCTGCCTTTGAAGCAAGCTCTGGTGGCCTTTCCAAGCTACTCACTCAGTGGTAGATATAAAATGCTTACCTTGTACTCTGATTCTCAGTGAACTCTCACACTTTCTATGCTCGTGGGACATTGTGAATGTATTACCCAAATGGGCCTCAAGGAACTGTTGACAAGCTTGTTGTGTGTATTTCCTCTGCTCATGAACATGCTCTGTTGTTCCATCAGACTTCATTTAACAAAACACAAGTTCAAAGATAATGTTTAAGAATTCCAGGACAGTGACAGCAGAGCCTTAAATTTAGCATGGAGGCCCTTCTGTGCACAGAGCCCTGGACACAGATTGTATGTTCATGAACCTGGCCCTGAAAACTTCT